ATCTACTGAATCTTGTGCAACCGTCACATAACGGTGAATTCTTTCTGTTCCATGGCGAGAGAATGCGACGATGATACGTTTTGCTCCACGAAATTCAGTTCATATCTGAAGGGATTCAGTCTGAACTCCAAATCTACCTAATAACTCCCTGGTTTCTTGATGTGGCAGTACAGTGCACGCTTCGTTTACTTGGTTTCACTTGGATCAGGAACCCAAGAATCTGGTTGGTTCTCCATGGGGAATCGACCGTCAAATTTCGATGTTCTGGACATACTTCTTTACCTTCCTGTTGAGCAATTCAGTTTCAGTTCCTTGATGCTATGCTACTCCTTTCCTTTCACAGGGATGCAGCAGCATGTGATGAGCTTCGAGGTGGGCGGGGTGCTAGAGGACTCCCACTGGCAGGCACCCTCGCACTGCTTCACTGACAACGCCGCCGCCGCCATCGCCACCGGAACCGACGGGACGAGCAGCCTCCTCAGGCTCGCACGGACGACCGCAGCGGCTGTAACATCTGCAGCTTAAAAAACAGAGTTGGGTTCCCACCGGCGGTCTTTCCATTTCATTATGGATCTACGTATCGTATTATGCTACTCTTGTGTTGTGTAACAAATCAAGTGTGGAGCTGGTTTTCGTCACAGCATCCTGACAACACCACGATGGTTTCATGGTAACAAAAGCAAATTATTCCCTCCGTTGCTAAATAGGAGTACTCTATAAGTCTTTTTAAAGATCAATGTGGACCGCGTACGGAGCAAAATAGTGAATCTACGCTCTAAATATGCCTATATACATCCTTATATATGTAATTCTTATTGGGGTTGATGCCTTCTTACCCGCCCAGGTTCAAACATGGTAGTTGTGATTTGGGTTTGTCGCGCCAATTATGCAGTAAAGGTTTCCTTTGCGGTCTTTCTTTCGAAAAAGTTGAGTAAAGCAACATCAATTAATATGGATCAAAAGGAGTAAAAAAGTTCATAAAAAATAGAAAGCATCTCAAATGTAATACCCTCTCTGCCAGACGCCGCTGGAGCGGCAAGTAGAAGGGAGGCAAATCCATAGGCTCGTCGGTGAAGCCTCAAGGAAAGGGTTTGGTCTAGCCGTTAGGTGAGGAAAAGTAGGTTACTAAACGGTGTGGTTTCTTTTCTAGAGACTTTCAAATTTGAAGTATACCTTTTATCTCCAAAACCGTTAACTCGGTTGATGATCTGCTTCCACGGTTAGCTTTCTTGTCGACATCCCTCTTCTCTTCTGATGAGGTGAGGAGGAGAGGGTGGGAGACGAGGTCGGCGGCTTTGGGGGAGAGGATAGGAGGGGTGTAGGCCGGCGACAAGGTGGCGTGAGGGCGCGTGACGGGAGGGATAGCATGGACGATAGCGGCGGCGGCGGCGTACCTAGGTTTCTCTCGCCCTTTTCTCCGATGTGTAAATTTCTTCGTGGGCTTTGTGGGGCAGCTAGGCCCAGTCAACCAGAGTGCTCAGAAATTGCCACCGGAGTAGCTTCTATATCCACCTCCACCGCAGCCCTCCGCTCCTCGATTTCGTCAACACAAACCAGGGAATCACCTTCTAGCCAGCCCTGGACGCCCCCGACCGCCTCCCATGCGGCCACTTCTCCCTCAAGCTTGACGACCGCTACATAACCCTCGGATGGCGCCACGGCCTTGCGCTCTTCTTCCTCCCG